CAATCAGAGCACACCTTGCTTTTCAGACCGTTGAGCTTTGTAAAAATCAACGCGTTTCAGAAAGGCGGGGGATAGAGGAGAAACAATAATGTACAGTATGTGGAAAATAATGTTTTTTGAACCTTAACCATAAACACATTTCATTACACCAAATACACAAAATAATGTTCTTTTTAGCAACATCATATGACCCCTTTAACCTCTGATAAAGCATTCCTGTCCATATTTGTTACATTTTTGTTGAACTCTGATGTTATATGCAATAAAATGTCTTTTTTGTGTGTGTTCAGACTTGACTGTAGTAAAATTAATGCAAAAACTGACCTTTCAAACCAACATTTCAAACAAACAAAAAATCTAAACCTTTACAAACAGTTGTCATTGAGAATGTCTAAATATAAATCCAAATCCACAACTTAAAAAAAAGTATTTATGTCTAAAAACAACTAGAGAATTGATAAGCCTTTTATATAGAGCTCTATAGGAATCTAGTAGCTAAATCACGGAATTTCAGATGTTTTTCTTTTTTTTACTCCCACCAGATGGAACTAATTTGCCTTCAAAAATTGGATTTTAAAGGCATTGTCTCTATTTTAACATGAAATACTGCCATCATTGAAAAGTAATAGAAAAATATTAGAAATTTGTTTTATTATTTTCAATGGGAAGAAATTGATCATAATTATTGCATAAATATTAAATAGTACCATGAAATTATCTCAAAATACAAAATAATAAAGAAAACATATTATCGAACAAAAATATATTACATTGATTTCACTGAAAATAAAAAAAGTTAAATTTCAGGTGTCCAGTCACTTTTGACCGCGAACAACACAAGTGTGACTCCCAAATGAACAATATCAGAGGGTTAACCAAATAGAAGAATGTATTTAGGAAAATATGAAAATGTGTAGTGTGCTACTAACTAAGTGTGAACTACGTGTTTTATGACAATTCTACAGTAAGACAATTAAAGCATCACAAAATTTTATAAGAAGAGATAAATGATAGGTCATATGACAAGCTAGCAACCTTAATAAAGGTTAAAAGTTAAATAAAGTCCATATAGAATTACCTGAAATACCCTGTGGCACCATGCAGATGCTCATCAACATTCATTCTGGTGCAAAAAAGTTTCTAAATACATATAGGGCCTAATCATTTCACAGCAAAACAAAAACTGTGCAAAACAAAATGATCACAAAATGGCTTGAATTTGAATACCCTAGATCTTACATTCATTTAGCTATAGACAGATCAAACATGATCTTTTCAGCCTTAAGTTTAAGTAGACTTTGAAGGTCCTGTAGTGTACATCTTGGATCCATTTAAACCTTGCGAGAAAGTGCTCATCTGTGTGCCACGATGTCTCTTTGACCTGCGGCACATCAGGTAGAACATCTCGATCACGTTCAGAAGCAGAGAGATACACGACACCACCAGCATGAAGATGATAAAGATGGTTTTCTCTGTGGGACGAGACATGTAACACTCAACCGTATGAGGGCAAGGAGATTGGGAGCATTCTATCTTAGGGATCATTATGAAACCGTAAATATAATACTGGCCTACAATAAATGCAGCCTCAAGCAAGATCTTAGCAAACAGGCTGGCTAGGTAACTACCTAATAACTGGCCCTTGATTATAACTTTGCCATGATCGTCTGTGTATTTGGGATGTTTGAGGCCTTGCTTTTCCGCATGGCTTTCAGTCTGCTGTCTTAGTTTCTTTTCTTTGTGGAGTATATGCAGAACGTGGCCGAAGTATAGAAGTGTTGGCGTGGACACAAAGAGGATCTGAAGCACCCAGAAGCGAATGTGGGAGATTGGAAAGGTGTGATCGTAACACACGTTCGTGCAACCAGGTTGCTTAGTGTTGCAGATCATTTTTGATTGTTCGTCGCTCCACACCTTTTCAGCCCCGGCTCCGAGGACCATGATCCTGAAGACAAAGAGAACAGTGAGCCACACCTTCCCAATGACTGTGGAGTGAGACTGCACTTTGTCCAGCAGCTTGGAGAGAAAGCCCCACTCTCCCATGCTTGTGCCTTTAGTATCTTCTCTGCCTGGAAAACTAGGGGAGAAAGACAGCATTTTAAGTGGTTGAGTTTTGATCTGTTTAAAAGTCCATTTTACCTAAAAATGTATGTATTATTTATTCACCATTACGTCATACAAACCCCATTTGCAGTGCAAAAAAATTATTTCTTATTCAGTATGTTTGTCTTGTTTTCCAGTACAAATATTTAAAAATTCTTCAATTTAAACAAGAGAAGCAAAATGACTTAAGATATTAAGTCTTGTTTTCCAGAAAATGTTATCAATATTAAGCGAGTTTATGCTTAAAAGAAGAAGAAGAAGAAGAATTAGAAGAAAACGGCAATGGGGTAATCAAAAATAAACTTAATTCAATATGAAACGAGATTTTTCTTAACCCATTTACAGTTTTTTTCTTGTTTTAAGCATACACTCATTTTGTAATTTTTTTAAAATTTTGATTAATTTTTAGTAAAGTAAAGTAAATGTATCTTGATTTAAGAATTTTTACATATTTGTAATGGAAAACAAGACAAAAATACTAAGAAAAATAACCTTTTTTTTTTCAGTGAACACTAAATTTGCTTGACAAAAAGAAGAAAAAAACACCAAAAATGTCACATTTATAGAATATATCATATATATATATATATATATATATAAGTTTTGTGGGAAGAACAGAGAAAAAATGTAGTCATTATTCACAATACTTGTAGCTGTAAAAAAAAAAAAAATTATGTTGCTTAGATTTTTTTAATATCCTTATTCTAAAAAAAAACATGCTTGACACCACTGTTTCAATATTTAAAATGTACTTCACATAATGTGATTCATAGTCAAGTAATCTAATTCCCATCAAGGAATAGTCATCTCAACACTGCATGACTTTCTTTCTTCCAGTTGAAATTTTAGTTGCCAATGGTTGCTGATTGCCATCAATAATGTCATAAGCGCAATAAAGTCATAAACATTTTTTAACATGCACAGGGGCTATATGTGAATTTCAGCAGATAGGCAAGATTATCAGAGAATAATTTGATAATTATGTATACAAAAAAAAAAACACAGTACTTTTGTGGACTGTGACAACAATTTGATGTTCAGAAGGTAAGAGCAATGTGCAGTGTTAAAATGAATTTGAATTTAACATCAATACATTTACTTAGTAAGAAATGATTTGCACTTCAGTTGACAAAACTTATCCTAAAGCAAAACATTTATCATAAAGGGATCTTCGACCATAAACAATTCTAGCCATTCTCGGCAAGTAATTACATTTTTGTTTCAAATCACAATGAGAAAAGAATATGCAACTAAAGAGTGAATGGTTAACATTCAGCAATCACCAAAATCCATCTGTATGTCAGTACGATTTAACATTATTAGATTATAATTCGTTTTGTTACCTGTTTAGAACCCTTAACTAATCTTCACAATATACAATATCACATATGAATTAGCAAACAGATAGATCAATAGGCAAATTTAAAATAAAATGTATATTTTTACCTGTGACAACTTGCGTCTCAGTGCTGTGCTGATTGACTGTGTTGCTCAATGATTAAATGGCATGTGTCAGGTGTAAAGATTGACAGTGCCCTGGATTTCACAATGTCTTTTTTTTTTTTTTTTGGTTGCCACCTTCCTCTTGAAGTCTGATTAAAGTTCCATGGCCATATTTGGGATAACAGGATAAAATTGAGCCCAAAGTTAATTATTAATCATGTTAGAGAATCTAAGGGCGATACATACGTATGAGACAAGATCTCTGTACCTTTGTATTCTCACGTACTCATACGTATAAATAGATAAATATACAAGTGCAATTTATTCACAAGAGCTTGATTTGTCATCGAGAGTCATAACCTTACTGAAATTTCTGAACACAATGAAAACCGCTCTGCTTTTAATGTTTCATCATGAGAGAAGAGAACTGAATACATATTCCCCTGGCATGCACAAGAGAAGGAGCTTTTATAACATAATGAATCCTTGAGTTTTAGTGCTTTAGGGTATTTATCATCTGAGCTATAGTTATTCTATTTGTCAGTAAAAAGAACAGTGATAAAAATCAGCAGCGTGGTCATATTTGAGATATGCGAGAACAACATACATCAACATAAAGATAATGTGACTCTGTTAATGCAACTTGCAGTGCAATACAAAGAGGGGGAGTAGAAGTCAAAAAATGCCTTTTGTGTGCATTTATATATGATTTTATGTATGATTTTTAAATCAGAGCACCGACACTGAATTCATTATGTAAATTTGTATACAGAAATGTTAAAACGTACTATGTCTTTGAGCTAAAGAGTAATTACTAAGACAATTATTAGATGTTAGCAATTAAGCACTTAGCCTGATTGCAGTCAGGTTCTAATTGTTTTTAATTAATTCTTAAATATTGTTATTTTACACCACAAGGCAAAGTTTTTTAAACTGGAGAAGATATCCTGCGAAAAAAAGAAACCTGTGTTGATTCAAAAGTTTTATTTTAAAGAAGGATATTGTCATTATGCTCTTTAAACATCACTGACACCAGTTTACATTCAGAATACAAATTACTATAAATGTGTTTCTTTGTAACGGAAAATATGGCCAAAGAAAATGACAACATCACACAAACAAGACATGCAGACAGTGCTTAAGTCACTTACTGACTCTTATACATATATTTACACGCAATATATACAATCATATAACAGTAAGTATTTTTTTTCACCGTAGTATATCAAAACTATTAAATTAAAAGTCAAACATGCACTGTGCACAAAATGATCATAAAGTAATTAAATAACACACTCCGTTTGAGGAGTATCATAGCAATACTTTATTTTTCAAGTGTGTAAATACTGGACCATAAGCTAAGGGCAGTGGAAAACAACATGTAGAGATGTTTCTCTAAAAACTTGGCAGATTGGTGAAATTTCTGAGAAAAAATCTAAATCTAATGGTCTTCCATAAATTGTTTTTCTTCTTTCGCCCCATCCAGGCTTCCTCCAAGACCCTGTCCGCTCTCATACTGCTTGTTCATTTTGTTTTGCTTCAGAGCGTCTTCAGAGGTCATCCAGGATGATGCCAAACTTCCAGGGTTTTTAGCCGAAGTGACATTATGTGTCCGTCTCTTGCTGGTCCGGCATCTGACCCTGGTGCACAGCAGGTAAAATACCTCTATGACATTCAGTAGCAGAGACACACAGGCGACCACTAGCATAAAGATGATGAAGATGGTCTTCTCTGTTGGACGAGACATGAAACATTCTACGGTGTAAGGACAGGGGGATTGGGAACATGTAAACTTGGCGATCATTACAAAGCCGTATAAATAATACTGTCCGACAATGAACGCAATCTCCAGGATGATTTTAAAAAACAGCTGGGTTAGATAGCTGCCGAGCAGGTTTCCTTTAATTTTGACATGGCCTCTGTCATCTGTGTATTTGGGTGCCTTCAACATGTGGCCCTCACCAAGACTTTGTATTTTCTCCCTGAGTTTGTTCTCTTCGTGAATGACCTGCACCACATGACCCAGGTATACCAAAGTTGGAGTGGATACAAATATGATCTGCAAGACCCAGAAGCGGATGTGCGAGATGGGGAACTTCCAGTCGTAGCACACATTCTCGCAACCCGGCTGCATCGTGTTGCAAACCAAATTAGATTGTTCATCACCCCAAACGCTCTCCGCCGCTGATCCCAGCACCAGGATCCTGAAGATGAAAAGGACGCTCATCCATATCTTGCCGATGACGGTGGAGTGAGACTGTACTTTGTCTAATAACGCCGAGAGAAATCCCCAGTCTCCCATGTTTGCTGATGCTCAGACTTTCCTACAAAAAAAAAAAGACGTAAGAAAGAAAGCGAAGGAAAACATGAAATACAAAGTCCACTTTAGGACTTTAACTTAATCAATAAGCCTTTAAATGATGGTCTTCATTAATGGTATACTCTTAATAGATTAACATACTTAATAATTAATAGCCTACAAAACAAGTTCAGTTATTGTGCCCATAAAGAAAAGCAAAACATGAAAAAAGAAGTTATACAGAGGTAAAACTATAAAAAGTATTATTAATAAATTAATTGTAAATTTTATAAACTCTATAAAAGGCATGAATAATTGTAATACATTAACATATGGTGCAGGCAAAAAATACAAATAAATGTTTAACAAATTGAATTTACAGAAGTTTTTTTTACTGGATCACAGGGAAATAACTTGATATTTCTGAATCTTATTCATTGACTAAACATCTGTGGCTACTGGTAAATATAAATACTAAAAAATTGATTTACAATAAATACATGTTAAAAACTTTACTCTGTCTTTAAAACATTTGCCATAATAAAACATACGTTTTAAGGTAAAGAACAATTACTAAGATAAATAATTAGATATTAGTAATTAAGCACTTAGCCTGATTAGTCGGATTCAAATGATTTTTATTTAATTTATTCTTAAATATTGTCTTTTTACACCACAAGGCAAACAGCTTTTGTATATGCTACCTAAAAAAAAAGTATACTTGAACAAAAAATATATACAAAACATTATACAAAACATCGTAATATTGATTTCACACTTACCTTTAGTGAGTTGCACCTCTTCCTATTAGAAACTAAGGCGCATATCAAGTGATAGCTGAGAATAGCTGAACCTTGATTTTTGGGCTTTACTAAGATTGTGTAATAGCTGAAAGTGGAATGCTGTTACGTTGTCCAACGGTAAAAGAACAAGATCTTGAATGCAAGTACACAGGAGTGCCACATTAATGATTGAAAGGCTTCAACAATGTGTAATACTTTAGTCTCTAACCCACACAACTACGGTATTCCAATTGAAATAAAAAAAGAAATCTACTTCACACTAAAGACATTTATAATGTTACCAAAGATTTCTATTTCAGATAAATGCTGTTCTTTTGAACTTTCTATTCATCAAAGAATCCGGGGGAAAAAAACAGGATTTCCACAAAAATATTAAGCGGCACAAACTGTTTTTGACATTGATAATAAAAAAGAAATGTTTCTTGTGCAGCAAATCAGCATTAGACTGATTTCTGAAGGATCATGTGACACTGAAGACTGAAGTAATGATGCTGAAAATTCAGGAATAAATTGCATTTTAAAATACATTAAAATAGAAAACTAAATTATTTAAAATTGTAATAATATTTCACAATATCACTGTTTTTGATCCAATAAATTTAGCCTTCAGTCTTTAATTTTTTCAGCCTTATTTCATTTTCCTAAATACAGAAACTGGTAGAACTAAATGACAAAACACAGTTTACATGCACAGTTTGAAGCTTTACTTTTTTCAAATCTTTCTACAGAGTACAATTTCCGACTTAAATGAGAAAAAAAAAAACAGATAAGAACTTTCAGCAATACATTATTGATTTGTTAAATAGAGAGAGAGGGTCATAGCGTGCTTGAAGTTGAGGGGTCTTGACCATGCACGAGTCACTTGGATCAGTGGCTGTTTGCTCAAGTTGACCGTGTGAAAGCCTTTGTGTACAGAGAGACCTGCTGATCAGATATGGACCTCTTGCACGTCAGCACTGTGGTCCTCTGAAGCCACACTTTTAGTTGCCTCATTGCCAAGTTCCCTCCTTTGAAGCTCCAGCTCATGGTTCATCCAGTTCTGAATCACCTGATCTGTATTTTTGAAGTCCTTTCTGTTCACAACCGGGGTCACGGGTGTGATGTTGTAGTCCTTTTTGCGGCTGAGACACTCGTTGATCTTCTTGACGCAAAGATATAAGATCTCAATCACATTTAGGAGTAAAGAGACACAGGCCACCACCAGCATGAACCAAATGAAGATGCTTTTCTCAGTAGGCCTTGACAAGAAACAGTCCACCTTGTGAGGACACGGAAAACGGACACAGACGTATTGGGCCTGAAGAGTGAAGCCATAAAGGTAGTACTGGCCCAAGATGAAACCCACCTCTAAAAGTATCTTGCAAAGCAAACTCAAAATGTAGCTTCTCAAGAGACGCCCCCGAATGCTGACCTTCCCATTGTCCCTGCTGTACTTGGGAAATTTGTAGCCTTTCTTGAGGAACAGACTGATTTGCTCATTCTGAAGCTCTTTCTTCATCATCTCTCTCACTTTCTTTTCGACATGTATGACGTGGACGACGTGGCCCAGGTAGGCTAGAGTAGGTGTGGACACCGAGATGATCTGCAGCACCCAAAAACGAATGTGTGAGATGGGGAACGCCTGGTCATAGCAGACGTTCTCGCACCCCGGCTGCTCTGTGTTGCAGATGAAGTCTGACTGCTCATCGCCCCAAACTCTCTCGGCACCGGCGCCGAGGACTAGAATCCTAAACACAAACAGGACGGTAAGCCAGATTTTTCCCACCACCGTTGAGTGCGTCTGGACTCTATCCAGCAGTCTTCCGAGAAAGTCCCACTCACCCATCTTTAATCTTAATTGAATTCCTGAAAGAAAAGACATTATTGTTAATTGGACAGAGCAGTTCGGCTGCAATTTAAATGCAGTGATGCTCATAATTTTCAATAGTTGAAAATAATTAAAAATTAAATAGTTTTCACATATTTTATGCAAGCTCTATTGATGGATTCAGAAAATACTGTGTTTATCATCAAACCAGGTTCTTTTCCATAACGAACATGGGAACCAAGGTTTTTGTGCTGAAAACCCAAAACATTGATAGTGACAGTGGCAATACTCTTTTCCGTCTTCAAGTCAGCTTGGTGTTTTTTTATAGTCTGCATAAGAATTAAATTTTTAATTTGGGATTCAAAATGAGACTTGCATTTCAGATCATTATATAATTTTTTTTTTTTTGGGGGGGGGGATTAGTTATTTGGATTAAAAAATATAGTAATATAAAAAATACAACAATAATTTTAAGGTAAGAGGTCTGGAGGTTAAGTTAAACATGTGCATCTTTCTTTCTTTCTTTAACACTGCCGTTCAAAAGTTTGGGGCTGATAAGACTCTTTCATGTTAGTGAAAGACGACTTATGGTAACCGAGGCTGAATTTTATTTTTTTTATCAAATAAGCATTAAAACAGTAATACTGTGAAATATTGTAGCTATTTAAAGTGACTGTTTTCTAGATTGATATATTTTTGAATAATTTATTTTATTCTTGTGATGGCAAAGATTAATTCTCAGCATCATTACTCCAGTCTTCAGTGTCACATGATCCTTCAGAAATCATTCCAATATGCTAATTTGCTGCTCAAGAAAAATTATTATCAATGTGGAAAACAGTTGTGCTGCTTAATTAAGAATTGATTTAAAATAGAAATTTATTTGTAACATTTTAAATGCCTTTTCTTTCAAAAAAAAAAAAAAACCTGACCCAAAACTTTTGAACAGTAGTGGAAATAAATAAAGAGAGAATATTATAAGTAAGCATTTCAGTGATAAATAACAAATAACTACACTTTTTGCTTACCAAATATAAGAAGACGGAGAGGAAGTTTCACCCGCTCATTGAGGGCTCGAAGGGAGATGTGTGTAACAGGTTTTCCTCTAAGCCTTCCTCTTCCTATTGAAGAGGCAGCTTCTGAACCAAAACAAAGATTATCACATTATCAGTGTGTAGACGCCAAACAATTTTCAGCCTCAACATCTGGAATTGGAATATTTATCATGTTCAAATTGGTTTCTTGTGCAAGTCTATATGACACGCATTATATAATAGCTTTTATATATTGTACTTTACATCTCTGCACTACTCCCATCTGAATATCAAAAATATTTGTTTTCAAACAGGTTTCCTAAACATGCGCCATTGCTCATATCACCAGACAGTCCCGGCCCAAACTCATGCCACTGGTTGCGAGTTGGCCGTATATAACTGTCAAAAGTGAAAGTATTTTTAGATTAAACCCACCTTTAATTAAGTCTATTTCTAAAATAATTTCCATGCTGTGTTTCAGTTTTGACTTTATTGTATGAATCCATTGCTGAAACAACATCCTATTCATGGTAAATGTATGGTAGTTACTTCTGTTAATATGAATGAGATTACGTGAGTAAAGTGCATTGTGTGTTCCTGGCAGAGGAGACACAACATTTGACTTTATCTACACTTTCAAAGATAATGCTGGCTGTCAGCATGACTGGAGTTTATACAATGGATTGTATAAACTCTAGTCATGCTGACAGCATATATAAATCTCAGACTTTTATCTATTACAAAATAATTTAACAAATTTCATGCCGTCTTTCACTAAATTTCAAGTTAATGAAGATTGTATATCAAATTTTTTCAATTAAAAAAATAGTCTTTTTAGAATCATTGGGGCTTTTTATTGATCATTTCATAGTTGCAACAACTAAATGAGATACACTGCAATAACCAAACACTAGCTATATAATGGTACAATGAAGATCTATTACTGCTGAGTATAGCCAGTATACTCAAAAACACTTGGAATCAGATATAAATACTTAATTTACAAAACCTTTTTATCTAAATATTTGAATCTGACCTTTGCAAAATGCATAAAGAATGGATTAAAGAAAAAAGCAGTAGTGCATAAACATTATAGATTTGTCATCATGTTCCAACCATTCAAACCACTTAGAAAAAAGTTTTGTGCAAACAAATATACTGAAAAACTGAGGCATTTCACTCAGAACTCAGTATGAGGGGGTAAAGGGGCAGGGGGAGTAGTCAATTTCCATTTTAAACACTTTAATCACTTATGTTATTCTAAGCTTGGTCAAAATAAACTCTGCAACATCAGTTTCATGAACCAGGTCCTTCACATGGAGGGGAAACATCCCTGTCAGGTGGCCCTTGTAAACACGCGTGATCCCAGCATCCATACCCACTCTGGCATGCACTGCACCAGTCGAAACTAGAAAAAGAATAACATAGGCTTAATAAATACGCATACCTTGTTTAAAAAAAAAAAAAAAAACATTGTCTACAATGATTGAT